CCCTCCAGGATGCAATGAAAACTACCACCACTCCTGGGGGTCAGCATGTGTCGATCTGCACGTGTACACGGACGGGCCGACACCTGGCCACGTTCACCTGTCCGCCTGGGTCGAGTCTGTACACACTGACTACTGAGCCTCCTCAAGTAGCTGCGTCTGGTCCGATGTCTGCGCCAGGTCCGGTACCACCCCCTGCTCGTGTCGCCTCCTGTCGCACCAGACTCTCCTTTGGCACCACCGCCTTGGTCACCCCTCCCTGCCACGCCTCTGTGGCATGCAGTCCCGCCTCCTTGTCTCTGGTCTTCCCAGATCTCTGCCTCCCCTCCCACCCTCGCCTGCCCCTCCCAACCTTCCCTTTGTCGAGGGGCGGCAGCGAGCCGCTCCTCACTCCTCGTTTCCCCTGACTACTGCTCCCCTGCAGACTCTCCACATGGACATGTGGGGCCCAGCCCGCGTCCTTCGATAGGGCCGCGAGTGATACTTTCTGCTGGTTGTTGACGACTACTCGCGTTACACCACGGTCTTCCCCTTGCACAGCAAGGGGGAGGTCCCTGATGTTTTGATCCCTTGGATCCACGCTGTCCGTCTCCAGCTCCACGAGCGGTTCCGCGAGGACCTTCCTGTCCTGCGTCTGCACTCTGACAGGGGTGGTGAGTTCTCCTCCGACCTCTTGCGGGACATTTGTGTTATAGTCACAATAGGCTTGAATGTGCCTAAAACGAAAAAATAGAGTCCACAGTCGGATTTTTGCACAGCGGATTCAAACGCTGATAGCGTTCTGGTCACAGCTGCGACTGACCTAATTCAAATTGGATCTAGAGCGTCTTGACGTCGCCTACACTTGGAAATTTAGATCGCATGATTTCATTACAAATTGACGAAGCAACGTTGGTTTGAACGAACGGCACTATGGCACCCACTATAGACCTAGAACACAAATTAGGAAGAGTTACGAGTTGGGAATGACTCCCAGCTCCTACAAACCCCAAGAGCCGAGGTACAGTGATCTGGAACAGTGCCACACTGTCCTCAACCACGAAGGGTCTCGAAACTACCCTCCACAAGGACCTACACCAAGAGAAATGTTACACTACACAAAGTAATGCAACTATTCTCACTATCTTAAAGTTTACCCTTTTGGAGAGCTTCGAAATCACTTGAATCTTGAAACCAAGGCTTTGGTTCTTCAAGATAAATTCTTCCTTGAGTTCTTGGATATCTGCTGCGCACACCTGCGACACGCCGAATGTTCCACACACGACAAAATAGAAAACCGCACACGACACGCAAACGACGACGTGACACGCGACTAGCGATAACTCGCTAATGACTCAACACACACATTCAAAATCGTGCCTCATCATTCACACACTGTTGTAAGCATGAAATATATATTATTTCATGCCCTCATACCATTCCATGCACACACGCATGCATGCACACGGACAACAAGCCGAATGCAAACCGTAGGGTTGCACCAACAAACTCCCCCTCGGATTGTTGGCCTTAGGATCTTGCTCTCTCAGTTCAGAGCCATCCCAGTCAGCTTGCAACACTTCCAATGTTGCTGCTCCACCAGCCTCTTGGTCATTATGTCAGCTGGCTGCCCCGTCGTCTTCACGTAGCGCAACTCAACTTCACCCGCGGCCACCATGCTCCTCGTCCAATGCCACTTCACCCTCATGTGCTTCGTGAGGCCATGCAACACAGGGTTCTTAGCAAGAGCAATGGCACCCTGGCTGTCACAGTAGAGTGGGGTAGGTCCTTGCTGCTCCTCCCCCAATTCAGCCAACAAAAGCCGCTGCCACACAATCTCCCGTACGGCACGGAAGAGTGCCATGTACTCGGACTCCACCGAGCTCAATGCTTGATCCACCTGCTTCTTGCTCTCCCAAGCAGTTGGGCCTCCACCAACACAGCAAATGAACCCTCCAACACTTGTCATGTCCTCTGGTTCCGATGCATAAGAAGCATCCGAGAATGCGGTGAGGAATAAACGTCCGGGTTCAACACCATCCGCGCCCTTTTGGCGCCTTTGCGCCGCCGCCGAGTATTGCAACCCAACGCTCGGTGTTTGGCCAAGATACTTAGCCACCCTCATTCCAGTAGCTACCTGCTCCTCATTAGGATATTGAACAACCCTAGCCAACTGTCCGGTTGCAAAGGCGACATCCGGTCGGGTGTTTACCGCCGCGTACATGAGGCTGCCCACCGAGTGAAAACGGTGCCTCTCCTCTTCACCAACGCTCTCCTCCTCTGGTACCTTCACACACTTGAACCCAGAAGGAAAGGGTGTAGCCACATGGCCTTCACTCTGCCCAAAATTGTCAGCTAATGCCTCCAGGTACTTCCGTTGATGCACCCGCATGCACCGCTTCTCCACATCTCGTTCGATGTGGAGCCCGAGGTAGAAGCTCACGTCACCAAGGGCCTTGCACTTGAACTTGTCTTGAAGATTCAGCATCACCTCCTTCACAAGGTCAGAGGAGGGTGAGAAAATGAGGATGTCATCCACATAAACCACCATGAAACTCCTCTGATCCCCCTCGCCAAGCATGAACAAGGAATGATCGGCGGATGAGGGAGTGAACCCGATCTCCTCCAAGACTTCACGTTGTTTCAAGTACCACTGCCTACGGGCTTGCTTGAGCCCATAGAACGCCTTCTTCAACTTCCACACTCTGCCACTACCATCATCAAACCCCTCTGGCTGCTCCATAAAAATCTCTTCCTCAAGGACGCCGTTGAGGAATGCGGTTGTCACATCCATTTGTTTCACCACCCATCCTTTGATGGTAGCTCCCGCGAGTAGGGTTCGCAGCGTCGTCGGCTTCACCACAGGAGCAAACAACTCCTTATAGTCCACCTTCTCCTTCTGCTGGTACCCCTTGGCCACAAGCCTAGACTTGTAGCGCTCGATTTTGCCGTTGGCGTCGGACTTGATTTTGAAGAGCCACTTGGACGTAATCGCCTTACGCCCCTCCGGTAGCTCCACCAATTCTCACATGCCGTTCTCCTCAATGCTCCTCAGCTCACTCTCCATTGCCTTCTTCCATTCCTCAGCATCACTACTCTCCAAGGCCTCCTTGAGAGTTGTTGGTTCCCCCGGCATCTCCACCGGAGAGAAGAATGCGAAAGCAAACTCCTCGTACTCATTTTCCTCTTCATCTCCAACCATCATTGCCGCTCCGGCCAAGGCTGACTTGGCTGGCTTTCCGAGCGCCTCATAGGTCAGCCTGTCTGGGGCTTGAATTCTCCTCTTACCCCTTCCTTCCTCCTCAGCTGCAGGGACATGAAGGCTCTCATGGCATTGCTGCAGGGTGACTCGGATCCGTGGAGCGCTCGTAGTGCGAGAAGGAAGTGTCGGTGCACGCTCGCTCACTTGCTGCACCTCCTCCTCTTCTTCCACTGCATCCTTGGCATCCTCTCCCCCATTCACAAGGGAAAATTGCCTTGTGGTGGTGCTGCCGCTGCTCAGCTCCAAAGGCAGCTCCACATGCTCCAAACCGACTCTTCACCTCCCCAAACCGCATGTCCATCGTCGCCTAATTCTCTGCCTTCCAATCCTTGTATATCAGATTCTCCATGAATTTGCAGTCCCTGCTCACCAAGAATTTCTTGGTGAATGGGTCCCAAAGAAGCCACCCCTTGCTGTTTTGAGCCATGCCCAAGTGCACAGCCCATATCGCCTTGGCACCGAGCTTGTTGTGCCGAAGATGCTTAGGCACAAGCGCCATGCACATGCACCCGAACACCCGAAGCATATCCACCTTTGGCTTCCTTCCAATCCACTCCACATAGGGAACCCATTTGTCTGCTCTCACATGAGTCAAAGCTCTGTTCTTGGCCACATACGCACTCCGCACCGCATCAGGCCAGAAGTAGTCGGGTAGCCCGGCTTCAATGAGCAACCCGTGCGCCGTCTCCGTGATTGTCCGGTTCGCTTGCTTGGCGATGCCGTTCATTGCAGGGAAGTATGGCATGGTAAGCGAGTGCCTTATGCCATTCTTCTTCAGCCACAATGAGAAATCGTTGCTCAGGAACTCTCCCCCTTGATCGGTGCGAATTGCCTTCACTAGCCGGTCTTGTTGCCGCTCCACCATCGGCAACCAATCGTTCTTCACCGTTTCAGCCACGTCGCTCTTCTTGGACAGCACGTACACTGTTATAGTCACAATAGGCTTGAATGTGCCTAAAACGAAAGATAGAGAGCACAGACGGATTTCTGCACAGCAGCTTCAAACGTTGATAGCGTTCTGCTCACAGCTGCAAATGACTTGATTCAAATTGGATCTAGAGCGTCTTCACGTCGTCTACAATAAGCAATTTAGATTGCACGATTTTATTGAGAATTGACGACACAGCGTCGGTTTGAACGAACGGTACTATGGCAGCCACTATAGTCTTAGAACACAAGATAGGAAGAGTTACGAGTTGGGAATGACTTCCAGCTCCTACAAACCCCAAGAGCCGAGGTACAGTGATGTAGAACAGTGCCACACTGTCCTCAACCACGAAGGGTCTCGAAACTACCCTCCACAAGGGCCTACACCAAGAGAAATGTTACACTACACAAAGTAATGCAACTATTCTCACTATCTTAAAGTTTACCCTTTTTGAGAGCTTCGAAATCACTTGATTCTTGAAACCAAGGCTCTGGTTCTTCAAGGTAAATTCTTCCTTGAGTTCTTGGAAGTCTGCTGCGCACACCTGCAACACGCCGAACGTTCCACACACGACAAAATAGAAAACCGCACACGGCACGCAAACGACGACGTGACACGCGACTAGCGTTAACTCGCTATTGACTCGACACACACATTCAAACTCATGCCTCATCATTCACACACTATTGTAAGCATGAAATATATATTATTTCATGCCCTCATACCATTCCATGCACACACGCATGCACGCACACGGACAACAAGCCGAATGCAAACCGTAGGGTTGCACCAACAAACTCCCCCTCGGATTGTTGGCCTTAGGATCTTGCTCTCTCAGTTCAGAGCCATCCCAGCCAGCTTGCAACACTTCCAATGCTGCTGCTCCACCAGCCTCTTGGTCATCATGTCAGCTGGCTGCCTTGTCGTCTTCACGTAGTGCAACTCAACTTCACCCGCGGCCACCATGCTCCTCGTCCAATGCCACTTCACCCTCATGTGCTTGGTGAGGCCATGCAACACAGGGTTCTTAGCAAGAGAAATGACACCCTGTCTGTCATAGTAGAGTGGGGTAGGTCCTTGCTGCTCCTCCCCCAATTCATCCAACAAACGCCGATGCCATACAATCTCCCGTACGGCACGGAAGAGTGCCATGTACTCGGACTCCACCGAGCTCAATGCTTGATCCACCTGCTTCTTGCTCTCCCAAGCAGTTGGGCCTCCACCAACACAGCAAATGAACCCTCCAACACTTGTCATGTACTCTGGTTCTGATGCAAAAGAAGCATCCGAGAATGCGGTGAGGAACAAACGCCCGGGTTCAACACCATCCGCGCCCTTTTGGCGCCTTTGAGCCGCCGCCGAATATTGCAGCCCAACGGTCGGTGTTTGGCCAAGATACTTGGCCACCCTCATTCCAGCTGCTACCTGCTCCACGTTAGGGCATTGAACAACCCTAGCCAACTTTCCGGTAGCAAACGCGACGTCCGGTCGGGTGTTTACCGCCGCGTACATGAGGCTGCCCACCAACGAGTGAAAACGGCGCCTCTCCTCTTCACCAACGCTCTCCTCCTCTGGTCCCTTCACACACTTGAACCCAGAGGGAAAGGGTGTAGCCACATGGCCTTCACTCTGCCCAAAGTTGGCAGCCAATGCCTCCAGGTACTTTCGTTGATGCACCCGCATGCACCGCTTCTCCACATCTCGTTCGATGTGGAGCCCAAGGTAGAAGCTCACGTCACCAAGGGCCTTGCACTTGAACTTGTCTTGAAGCTTCAGCATCACCTCCTTCACAAGGTCAAAAGAGGGTGAGAAATGAGAATGTCATCCACATAAACCACCATGAAACTCCTCTGCTCCCCCTCGCCAAGCATGAACAAGGAATGATCGGCGGATGAAGGAGTGAAGCCTATCTTCTCCAACACTCCTCGCAGCTTCAAGTACCACTGCCTAGGGGCCTGCTTCAGTCCATAAAGGGCCTTCTTCAGCCTCAGAACTCTGCCACTACCATCATCAAACCCCTCTGGCTGCGCCATAAAAATCTCTTCCTCAAGGACGCCGTTGAGGAATGCCGTTGTGACATCCATTTGTTTCACCACCCATCCTTTGATGGCAGCTCCCGCGAGTAGGGTTCTCAGCGTCGTCGGCTTCACCACAGGAGCAAACAACTCCTTATAGTCCACCTTCTCCTTCTGCTGGTACCCCTTCGCCACAAGCCTAGACTTGTAGCGCTCGATCTTGCCGTCGGCGTCGGACTTAATCTTGAAGAGCCACTTGGACGTAATCGCCTTACGCCCCTCCGGTAGCTCCACCAATTCCCACGTGCCGTTCTCCTCAATGCTCTTCAGCTCACTCTCCATTGCCTTCTTCCACTCCTCAGCATCACTACTCTCCAAGGCCTCCTTGAGAGTTGCTGGTTCCCCCGGCATCTCCACCGGAAAGAAGAACGCAAAGGCACACTCCTCGTAGTCACTCTCCTTGTCATCTCCAACTATAAGTGCCGCTCCGACCAGAGCTGACTTGGCTGGCTTTCCCAATGCATCATAGGTCAGCCTATTAGGGGCTTGGATTCTCCTCTTGCCCCTTCCTTCCTCCTCAGCTGCAGGGACATGAAGGCCTTGGCGTTGCTGCGGGGTGACTCGGATCCGTGGAGCACTCGTAGTGCGAGAAGGAAGTGTCGGTGCACGCTCGCTCACTTGCTGCACCTCCTCCTCTTCTTCCTCTGCATCCTTGGCCTCCTCTCCCCAATTCACAAGGGAAGATTGCCTTGTGGTGGTGCTGCCGCTGCTCAGCTCCAAGGGCAGCTCCACATGCTCCAAACCGGAACTCTTCACCTCCCCAAACCGCATGCCTATCTTCGCCTCATTCTCCGCCTTCCAATCCTTGTACATCAGATTCTCCATGAATTTACAGTCCCTTCTCACCAAGAATTTCTTGGTGAATGGGTCCCAAAGAAGCCACCCCTTGCTGTTTTGAGCCATGCCCAAGTGCACAGCCCATATCGCCTTGGCACCGAGCTTGTTGTGCCGAAGATGCTTAGGCACGAGCGCCATGCACATGCACCCGAACACCCGAAGCATATCCACCTTTGGCTTCCTTCCAATCCACTCCACATAGGGCACCCATTTTTCTGCTCCCACATGAGTCAAAGCTCTGTTCTTGGCCACATACGCACTCCGCACCGCATCAGGCCAGAAATAGTCGGGTAGTCCGGCTTCAATGAGCAACCCACGCGCCGCCTCCGTGATTGTGCGGTTCGCTCGCTCGGCGATGCCGTTCATTGCAGGGGAGTATGGCATGGTGAGGGAGTGCCGAATACCATTCTTCTTCAGCCACAACCCAAACTCCTTGCTCAGGAACTCTCCCCCTCGATCGGTGCGGATTGACTTGACTAGACGGTCTTGTTGCCGCTCCACCATCGGGAACCAATCCGTCTTCAACGTTTCAGCCACGTCGCTCTTCTTGGCCAGCACATACACCCAAGTCATGCGGGTGTAGACGTCGACAATGGTGAGAAAATACTCAGCTCCAGCAGCTCCAAGCTTCAGGGGGCCCACCACGTCCATCACCACCTCATCAAGTGGTGCCTTTGCCGTTGCCTCCGAACTAGGGAACGGAAACCGGGTGAACTTGGCTTGAATGCACGTCGGGCAGCCAAGCACCTCATCGGGCTCCCCCTTCACACGTATGCCAGCAACCATCTCATTCTTCACTAGCTGCTGCAAGATGGGCAGGGCCACATGCCCCATGCGCCGATGCAAGGTGAGCCAATCACACTCCCCCGTACCCGAAGTTGGATTGGAGAATGCCGCGCTCGCAATAGCGCCCCACATACTCTCTCCGTAGTCCTCCTCCGCTGCTGCCTCTGGGTTCTCCTCACCCTTTTGCTGCTCCTTGGTTGCTGCACCACTCTCCTTAGGTTCACTGAACTTGCTGGTCCCTCCAGGTTTGCTCTTCTTGAGCTCATTCTCCTTAGCGCGACCGTTCGCGCCATCGTCGCTACCGACCGCTCCATCCTTGGTGCTGATGCTTGCTGCCACTTGCCTCTCCTTAGGCATAGGGACCACTGGGATCTGCCACATCTCGTTGTAGACATCCCTGTCCTCATGAAGGTCCCAAAGAATTCGATCGCCAAGCCTTGCGGTGTAGGTCTTGGCTCCCTTCGAGTTCGTGTCCATGCCGGCCTTTGCCAACCGCCGCACGGAAATCAGGTTTGCAGCAAGGCTGGGCACCCAAAGCACGTTCTTGAGGCCCACCATCTTCCCATCAGCACCCTTGAACATGGCCTTCCCCATGCCTTTCACCTCTGCTCGCTGCCCCAAAGCCGATGTGACATGCTTCACCGGTGACGGCTCGAGTTCGGTGAGCAAGTCCGGGCGAGGTGTCATGCTATAGGTAGCGCCACTATCAATCACCCAATAGTCCAGGGGGTGTAGGGTCACCTTCCCCACAGCTGCTGGCTCCTCAAAGCCTTCATCCTTCTCTGGACCAGTCGGTACTTGCGTCGACACGAAGTAGAATAGACCCGGGTATCGATCGTCGCTCGGGTCCTTGTCGTTGTCTCCGCTCTTCATGTTTGCAGCTCCGCCACCGCGACCGCCACGGCCTCCACGGCCTCGTCCTCTCCCTCCTCCTGCTCCTCTACCCTCTTGGCCTTGAGCAGGGGTCCAACCATCAGGGAGTTTGTAGCAGTCGCGCCACATGTGTCCGCTCTTGTGGCAATAGTGACACTCGCCGTCGAATCGGCCGCGACCGCGTCCGTAGCTCTTGTCGTCGCTGCCGTAACCGCCACTCCCGCGGCCTCCGCCGAAGTTGCTGCCACCAAACCTTCCTCCCCCTCGTCCTCTGCCTCTTCCGCGACCATATCCACGGCCGATGCTCGCTGCCCCAGCACCATCCGCACTCGCCAACTCACGGCGGCGGAAATCCTCTTGAAGGATAGCTCGCTTCACGTCTTCAAGCGAGAGGCGGGGCAAGTCGCGATTAAGGTTGATGATGAGCGAGGACCATGACTCAGGGAGTAGGGCCAGCAACTTGGTCTTCTTTTGGAGCTCACTATAGTTCAAATCAGCTCCATCAAGCCGCGTCAACAAGTCGAAGAATTTCTGCACCCCTTCTTCAACCGCTTCATCCTCTTCAATTCGTAGTGTCGCCATTTGCCGTTCCAACACCACAGCTACCGCCGCTGTTGCAGGAGCGTGTACACCCTTGAGAGCAGCCCATGCCTTTGGTCCCTTCTCTGGTTCACGCTGGAAAGGCTTGATGTGACGGATCTGGCTGCTCCCCAACGCTTGCCCTAGTAGGAGGTAGCCTTGTGCGCTCTTTCGCACCCACGGGCTCTTCTCCGGGTCGTTCTCGGGGCGCTTCTCCGTTCCTTCCATCACCTCCAGCAGGTCATAGTGATCAAACACGTTCTCCATTCTGAAGGACCACTCAGCAAAGTTGTCACCGTTGAACTTGTCAAGGCCAAACACTCTAGGCTCGTCCCTAGATGGGCCAACACTTGGTTGCACGGGCGCCATGGCTGAGTCACGGGGTTGGCCTTGAGCTTGGGCTTCTCCACTGCCACCAGTACCTCTGCCACCCCTTTCCTCAGGTCCAGCAATTGTCTAAACTGCTCCAAGGGCTCTGATACCACTTGTTATAGTCACAGTAGGCTCCAATGTGCCTAAAACAAAAGATAGAGTGCACAGCCGGATTTCTGCACAGCGGCTTCAAACGTTCATAGCGTTCTGGTCACGGCTTCAAATGACCTGATTCAACTTGGATCTGGCGCGTCTTAATGTCACCTACAATAGGCAATTTAGATCGCACAATTCGACCAAGTATTGACGACACAGCGTTGGTTTGAACGAACGGCACTATGGCAGCCACTATAGTCTTAGAACACAAGATAGGAAGAGTTAGCAAGGGTTACGAGTTGGGAATGAATCCCAGCTCCTACAAACCCCAAGAGCCGAGGTACAGTGATGTGGAACAGTGCCACACTGTCCCCAACCACGAAGGGTCTCGAAACTACCCTTCACTAGGGCCTACACCAAGTGAAATGTTACACTACACAAAGTAATGTAACTATCTTCAATATCTTGAGGTGTACCCTTTTGGCGAGCTTCGAAATCACTTGAGGCTTGACACCAAGGCTCGGGCTCTTCATCACAAACTCATCCTTGAGTTCTTGATGGGTCTGCTGCACACACCTGCGACACACCGAACGTTCGACACAGGACAAAATAGAAACCGCGCACGACAAAATAGAAACCGCGCGCGAGACACAAACGACCGCGTAACACGCGTCTAGCGATAACTCGCTATTGACTCGACACACACACTCGACATCATGACTCAACATTCACACACAATTATAAGCATGAAATATATATTATCCCATGCCCTCATACCATTCCATACACACACACACATGCACGCACACGGACAACAAGCCGAGTGCAAACCGTAGGGTTGCACCAACATCCGTGATTGTCCGGTTCGCTCGCTCGGCGATGCCGTTCATTGCAGGGGAGTATGGCATGGTAAGGGAGTGCCTTATGCCATTCTTCTTCAGCCACAATGGGAACTCCTTGCTCAGGAACTCTCCCCCTCGATCGGTGCGAATTGCCTTGACTAGCCGGTCTTGTTGCTGCTCCACCATCGGCAACCAATCGGTCTTCACCGTTTCAGCCACGTCACTCTTCTTGGACAGCACGTACACCCAAGTCATGCGAGTGTAGACGTCCACAATGGTGAGAAAGTACTCAGCACCAGCAGCTCCAAGCTTCAGCGGGCCCACCACGTCCATCACCACCTCATCAAGTGGTGCCTTAGCCGTTGCCTCCGAACTAGAGAACGGGTAACGGGTGAACTTGGCTTGCATGCACGTCGGGCAGCCAAGTACCTCATCGGGCTCCCCCTTCACACGTATGCCAGCAACCATCTCATTCTTCAATAGCTGCTGCAAGATGGGCAGGGCCACATGCCCCATGCGCCGATGCAAGGTGAGCCAATCACACTCCCCCGTAGCCGATGTCGGATTGGAGAATGCCGCACTCGCAATGGTGCCCCACATGCTCTCTCCGTACTCCTCCTCCGCTACTGCATTGGGGTTCTCCTCACCCTTGTGCTGCTCCTTGGCTGCTGCACCACTCTCCTCTTGTTCACCAAGCTTGCTGGTCCCTCCAAGATTGCACTTCTTGGACTCAATCTCCTTAGTGCGACCGTTCGCGCCATCACCGCTACCAACCGCTTCACCCTTGGTGCTGATGCTTGCTGCCACTTGCCTTTCCTTAGGCATGGGTACCACAGGGATCTGCCACATCTCGTTGTAGACATCCCTATCCTCGTGAAGGTCCCAAAGAATCCGCTCGCCAAGCCTCGCGGTGTAGGTCTTAGCTCCCTTCGAGCTCGTGTCCATGCCGGCCTTTTGCAACCGCCGCACGGAAATCAGGTTCGCAGCAAGGTTGGGCACCCAAAGCACGTTCTTGAGGCCCACCATCTTCCCATCAGCACCCTTGAACATGGCCTTGCCCATGCCTTTCACCTCTGCTCGCTGCCCCAAAGCCGATGTCACATGCTTCACCGGTGACGGCTCAAGTTCGGTGAGCAAGTCCGCACGAGGTGTCATGCTATAGGTAGCGCCGCTATCGATCACCCAATAGTCCAGGGAGTGTAGGGTGACCTTTCCCACAGCTGCTGGCTCCTCAAAGCTTTCATCATTCTCTGGACCAGCCGGTGCTTGCGTGGACACGAAGAAGAATTGACCCGGGAAGCGATCGTCCCTCGACTCGCTCTCGTTGCCGGCACTCTTCATACTTGCAGCACCACCTCCGCGACCGCCACGGCCTCCACGGCCTCTTCCTCTCCCTCCTCCTGCTCCTCTACCCTCTTGGCCTTGAGCAGGAGTCCATCCATCAGGGAGTTTGTAGCAATCGCGCCACATGTGTCCGCTCTTGTGGCAAAAATGACACTCGCCGTCGAACCGTCCGCGACCGCGTCCGTTGTTCTTGTTGTCATTGCCGTATCCGCTACTCCCGCGGCCTCCGTTGAAGTTGCTGCCTCCAAACCTTCCTCCTCCTCGTCCTCTGCCCCTTCCACGGCCATATCCACGGCCGATGCTTGCTGCCCCGGCGCCATCCGCACTCGCCAACTCACGGCGACGGAAATCCTCTTGAAGGATAGCTCGCTTCACGTCTTCGAGCGAGAGGCGGGGCAAGTCACGATTGAGGTTGATGATGAGAGAGGACCATGACTCTGGGAGTAAGGCCAGCAACTTGGTCTTCTTTTGGAGCTCACTGTAGTTCAAATCAGCTCCCTCAAGCCGCGTCAACAAGTCGAAGAATTTCTGCACCCCTTCTTCAACCGCTTCGTCTTCTTCAATTCGTAGTGCCGCCATTTGCCGTTCCAACACCACCGCTACCGCCGCTGTTGCAGGAGCATGTACACCCTTGAGAGCAGCCCATGCCTTTGGTCACTTCTCTGGTTCACGCTGGAATGGCTTGATGTGACGGATCTGGCTGCTCCCCAACGCTTGCCCAAGTAGGAGATAGCCTTGTGCGCTCTTCCGCACCCACGGGCTCTTCTCCGGGTCGTTCTCGGGGCGCTTCTCCGTTCCTTCCATCACCTCCAGCAGGTCATAGTGGTCAAAGATGTTCTCCATCTTGAAGGACCGTTCAGCAAAGTTGTCACCGTTGAACTTGTCAAGCCCAAACACCCTAGGCTCATCCCTAGGTGGGCCAAGACTTGGTTGCATGGGCGC